TAAAGAAAAAAAAGTTGAAAAATGAAAAATAAAATGAGAAGTATTATTCTATCCTTTTTTAGTATTGAACACAAAGTTCCAAAGTACTTCTCCTGAGTGTTTTTACTTCTATCCTTTTTGAATACATTTCCCTGTGTATACTTTACAGTTAGCAGCAGAAGTAAAAGCCTGCTGAACATAAAGCAATGAATCACCACTCCTGCTATTAGACTGTCCATATGACACCGTAATAGGACACCACTGATAGCAAACAAGCAGAATTACCAGAAGTTTCCCAGAGTTTATCATAAATAATTTTGGCTAACTTTTTTATTGGCACCCTATTTAGTTAGTCACATTAATAAAATTTGATTTTTTTTATTGATAAATATTGAAAGTACAGTACTGTGAATGCAAAGGTGATACATACACAGGAGCCCCCCCCCCAAAAGAATATCTGTACTAAATGGTCAACTTATCATTTAAGCAGACTAGTATACACTTTATTGTTATGTTACAATAAGTTTATCAAACATGGTTGTGATAAATTGTTTCAAATCTTGTGTTACTCCTCCCAATTTAACTAAGTCGTTTGTTTGCTGTTTGACCTTCCAAGTTTCCATAAAACATAATATTGCATAAGATTAACCTTCTTGCCAAGGACAGGTCAAAGAGTGCATATCATGGTGTTTTAGAGAGTTATTTTTAAAACTTAATTAAACAACTTTATTATCAGTGTATGTTAATAAAATTGGCATCAAATGTTAATAAATATTATATGTTTTAATTTATTAATTCCAAATGTTTTAAAAATGCTTAATGTTCTACTTTGTGTATCATGTAACACGTCCTCTTGTTGTATTGCTCAGTTTATATTTTATTATGCCTACCATGCAACATCTATAGTAGTTAATGAATTAGAAACTCAAGTTTCAGATATTGACAACCTAGAGTATAAAAATAAGAACCTCCCATCGTTTTGATTTTCCGAGATATGAATATATTTAGCAAACTTGCCAAAGTAACTCCTCTCACTACTCCATTCTCTTGAAACCTTTTAGTTACTTCTCTTAAGTACAGGCTTATAACTAATAGCAAGAGAACATTCCAACCTATGTAAATCTGATAGTCGTTTGTAACTGACTTCAAGGGGAAAGCTGTAGTTTAACTGGAAAAGTTGAATTCTGTTGACTAAGTCATTGTTCTAAACGGAAATGAAATTATTTTCAACCCACATATAGCATAGTTAGAAAGCCAGATAAATTGCAGTGATTTTATGTGTACTAG